CTTTATTACTGTTTGAAACACATCTCCTCTCATAGGTTGTTCATCCCATTTTGGACTCTCTCGCGTATTTATTCGTCCTTACCTCTGCCTGATGACTGTTTTATAACTTGATAAAGACCTTTAAATATTTGCGCGGGCTTGCGCGATGAACGCTGTCCCGGATTTAATATTGGAAAGATTGGCGTCAGGAGGGGCTAAACAAGCAAACCAAATTTCTTGCTTCTAATGAAGACGGCACGATCATAAGATAGGTCATCCTCCAGGCCGGGAATGTTTGTGCACAGTGATTAAATTATTTACATCTAATTTGACATGCACTATAAATCTGGTACTTTCTCTTAGAAGCAGCATGTTAGTGCACATGAATCCTCCCAGCGTCTTGCCTTCTAATCGCGTGGAAGGAAAATTGAAATATCGCGGGCGTGATCTGTGCAGAAGCCTAGGTTCATTGGTCGCCTATTATTTCTACAAACTCTCTGGCAAAATCACTAGCATATAGCCTGGTGTCCTTTATCCAAGAAGCGAGGTTTTGATAGAATTTCGTTGCTCAGCCACTATGTTTTCGTAGTGGCGCGAAGGAACAAAAAAAGAGAAAGAGAGAGGAAAGCAACGGTTTTTGCAGGCTGATATTTTTTTTTGCAATTGCAATATTTTGTTGTGTTTAGGTATGCTTTTGTGGTGTAAACAATGTTACGCACTTCCCACAAATACTTCATTGTCAACGACAGTTGTAAAGTATTACGCAGTGCCTCGGGTGCTTTGACCTTACGCACTAGAGCGTCACAGGAGCGAGTATTTCTGCAAAATAAATACGAGGACCTATTTCTCCCTTTGAATCCATCACTTTTGTGGAATCACGACGAACACACTTTCACCATGAAATCGTAACAAATAATGATTGATGATGAAATTGATTGGGTCCCAACAGTGGAGCCACATTATTTAGGTTGCAAATAAACTGGGCGTCAATCATGCGATGTGTTTATTTCCACGTTTTAATGTGTTGAGAATAAGTAGCCAAAAAACGCAGTCTGCAGGCTGCTTCCTGGAGTGGCCTGATATCTCCAAAACTCGGGAAGGGGGAGGGGGGGGGGGCGAGAGAGAGAAAGGGGTGGATGTTGTGGGAAGGTGATAATATTTATTTTCACTTAGGAGAGTCGCCGGTCGTTAAAAAGTCGACTCGCCCATAACGGGAAAGCCTGTAGGGCCACATGTATAGTAACCATGAGTAAAATGTGGTATACAGCTATGTTACTGAGAAGTTGCAATAGAGCAAACGATGGGGCATTGTGGAGGCAAGTGAAGCAAAGACCTATCTTATGATCGTGCCGTCAAGCAAGAATTTTGGTTTGCTTGTTTAGCCCCTCCTGACGCCAATCTTTCCAATATTAAATCCGGGACAGCGTTCATCGCGCAAGCCCGCGCAAATATTTAAAGGTCTTTATCAAGTTATAAAACAGTCATCAGGCAGAGGTAAGGACGAATAAATACGCGAGAGAGTCCAAAATGGGATGAACAACCTATGAGAGGAGATGTGTTTCAAACAGTAATAAAGAGATTAGCGAAAGCCACTTGATTTATAAGTTTGGGAAATAAATGTATTATCGACGACCTGAACCTTTTATTGCGCAAGCCAATCCTTGTGCAGACACGGGAACGGTTCCATCAGCCGCGCGATGCCAGCGAGCGGCTGCTGGTACGAACCCAGCATACCGCCACGACCCCTCGATCTCCACCGACCGAGCGGCCTCGGACCTGCAGCTCATGAGAGAAAGCGTTCGGTCGTGCTGGCTTCCTCAATCTCGCGGATTGAGCGTGCCCGCGTCGACGAGGGAAGACACCTGGACGTGTCAAGGTCGTTGTGGCGCTCGCGGCTAGCTGCTCATTTCGCGCTTTTTGAGGATTATCCCTACAGAAAAAGTCGACACAAAAGAAGCCCCTGCCGTCACATAATTTTTGGGAGAGGGTGACAAGAGGAGGGCGCGAGGGGCATTTTCCTACCTTGCGGATTATGGTTTCGTTGGTCATCTTTAAAGCCTGGTGGGCAAGGAATCAACGGCTGCTTTTTCTTCGCTCAGGGGCCGAAAGCGGAGAGAAAGGAGTCGTCAATCTGTGCCTGTCAGGTGAAACATTAGCAATGAGTAGACACGACACAACTATCCTTCTAGTTTAGAAAATAGAATAATTTCCTTTTTAACTTCATCAGCATCCGCACGAACCGCAAAATGACTTGCCTGTGCCGAGTGACATGCTGCATCCATCAATATGTCACCGTACTTTTTTTGGCATATTTTTGATTCCAAGTAGCCAGTGGTTGTTCGAAACAATACCTCTCTTTTTTTCTGTCCTTTCTTACCGTTGGTCCTTTTCTTTTAAAATGCCAGTAGTGACCTCGCTCTATCGATATCGTATTTCTTGAATAGAAGTCTCAGTCAGGCGATGCCAATGCTGTTAGGCATAAATGAAGTATCAAAGTGAGGAGAGCTGATATCGAAACAAAGGGTGCAACAACCCTGGCATGCAGTAGCGGCACGTAGGATTATCACACCATATCCGCTTTTTGCATTACAGCCGAAAAGAAGAATCAGTGGAAGCAGCTGTGGCAAACCGCAACGCGTTTTTAGCTGTAAACAGTGACTGTATATGCAAGTCAAGAATGCACATGCGTAGAACCCCCTGCGAAAATCACTCCCGACTAGCAATTAGGCTGGGGGGGGGGGGGGGAGCTCTATCCCGAAAGAGCACCAAAATTCGAGATGGCAACGACAAAAGTTTTCTACCAGAAAAAGAAAAAAAAAAAAAGCGCAGTGTACACGGATTTAGTATTTTATTTATCTCTGAGAACATAGACTTTATTAGGCCAAAGATTTGTCACTGCTATGTTAATCACTTTCAAAACCACCAAAAGACTCCTCAGAGTCTGTCACAAGAAAAAGTTTGCAGCATTCCGCAGACTATGTGCCGTTGGCTATTTTGACAACCTCTTCAGAAAGAAGCCGGTTGCCAATGGCTCATTCTGCACTTCTTTCGCGCTCCAGGTATGAGTGCATCATCCACGTTTTCACTGAACACCGGCGTGCCGTTACTTAGCTTTCGTCGAAGTTTGACTTTCTTGTAGTTTGGCTGTAGCAAATTTTCAAAATTCTTGTCCCGTTCCCGTATCCGGTAGAGCTTGATGTGTCGAGACGTCAGGTGTATGTTTTTCCCGTTTTCACAATGCCATTGGACGACCTCAATTTTCTTTGCCGCTGTGAAAGAATGCATAGCCGACCTGACAACCCCAAAACAAAGCGACAGTGGTGCGTGGCGACCGGGCAGATAGGGCTGCAAAGTAGGATTGGATTGGATTCTTGGACTGAATTTCGCAGGCCAGTGTTGCCTGGGCACAATCAGGCTGGTACGTGATACGGGTGTGGTGCGGGGAGGGGGGCGCTTTCCCGGAACAGCGAGGAAATGTGAAATTGGCAGTGAAGTTGGGGGGACACTTGCTCAGAATTTCACGGTAAGCTTAAATTGTATCTTCATATTTTCTAATCTCTTTTATGCCTAAAAATAGTGCAACCAAATACTTCTCTAGGGTGCTGTGGGAGGAGGGTGAATACACCTTACTGGGCACTGTAATGCAGTGGCTTTGTCACTGACAGGTTTGACGTCGTTTGTGTGGCTGGATTCGCCGAAGCCTGGGGTTTCCACCTTAAATTGGCTGAGGTGGCTGATGTCACCTATCATAATGGAATACCAGGCAATCGGGTGTTTTTTGTTGCCCATGGAGCTTGTTTTTGAAACTTAAAACAACATACAATGGTTCATCTGGTGAATCAATTAAAATTGTGGCCACCCTCTGTATTGGAAAAAATGACCAGAGTTGATTTCATCTCATCAAATTGACGAGTTGTGTGACATGTGGACAAGTAAAGGAGAAAGACATTAGCTGGCTCAGAGCGTGTGAAAGGGTAGCACTCGATTGCCAGGCCTGCTCAGATGAACATGCATTTTTTTTTTGTCAAGCCTGTCTTGTCCTTGGAGGTGAGCTGTATGCACCGATTCTTACTGACGTCTGTGCAATGTGCGCCGTCAGTAATGTACCACTTGCGCATTGCAGAAGAACACTGGCTGGTGGTAATGTTGGTGTGGGAGTCTGTGTGTCGCACCATCAGGAGAGAATTTGGCACGCTAGATAAACTGTAATAGAAGCGAGTGAAGTAGGCTGTACATTTGCTCTAGAAACATGTTTAGTGCAATATTCATTCTCACAAAAAAATGTTACCTTCGTCTACCAGTTTCAAGTTTGAGTCAATTTCATTGCAACAAGTGTACGGCTGTTCTCTTTAGACTTCATACCAATTGTCATTATGACAAGCAAACAAAGCAATGCATTATCTTTTTATGTTTATTTTTTTTGTTACTATGAGAATTTACGAAATAGCTAACTTATTGCAAATGTTTTCAGTCATCTTGAACACTACATTTGCTTACCACTTTTGAGTTTAATGACGAAAACACCATTTTTATTGCCCGGTTGTGGTATGTTTATGCATGTTCTGTACAGTTGTGCACTGTATCGTTTTCACTGGATATATCTGAAAATGTTTATGCAAAGTAGTCATAATGAACAGTGTATAGGGTGTTTTCACTGACGTGATTTCGTCCACCATTTTGTTGTTGCGATCTGTGTGGAATGTGCCAAACTCGAGCATTTCAAGGATTTACATGCCTTCTCAAATGCGTAGAGCACCGCTGACATCATTTCAACCGGTTACGATGTAATCCTTCAATGTAGTAAATTTGTTTCAAAAACCAAACTAACAACAAAATGGCGGATTGACGTCATGCGCAAACAACCTATAGTAGAGTGCCTTGAATGCATTTGTGACTGCTGTCTTTGGCCATCCTATGCTGCTTATGCATTTAAGGTAGCCCCAAAATGGTGACAAATTATGTCGCAGGAGCTGGATGCTGTGTTATGTCGCAATCCTAATGGTTGGCCCTATGTGTTCCAGCGAATAATAGGAAACACAAGTGTCGCTCTTGTAGCGTCCCAACTCCTGGCTGCTGAATCTTACATGGACTATCAAGCTGGAGACGAGCTACAGCACAACAGGGGCCTACCGCACCCGCCTTCTGCTGCTCTACCACCACCAGGATCGTGGCATGGAACAGCATGACACTTCTATGACGTTGTCAGGCAAAGATAGAGGGAACTAAAATAAAGTGACGATGAGCATAGCACTCGGGAACATGTTCCAGGCACCATTAGAATGTGCTAGTAGAGGCCCATTGATGTAGCCCATTAGAATGTCCCAGTAAGGGCAAATACATCAGTAGGCCGATATTGGACCAATACACCAACATGCCTCTACTGAACCAAACACACAAATAGGCCTCTAATAAACCAATACACCAGTAGTCCTCTATTTGACCAATACACCAATGGGCCTCTATCGGTACTATAGGACCCACCTACTTTTTACAATAGGAATCTACTGGTCTATCAGTTTACTGGTTTATTATTGTAATTTTTGCTGGGGATGTGATAGCACAACATATTTTATTGCATATGTTCTAATGTTAGCTGCATATGTTATGAGCCTTACATATTGTTTACAGGTGTACTTTGAAAATATTGAGGTCAGTGCCATTTCTAACTCCAAACCCTCGATTAAGTAATCTTGTTCATTATTTCGAGCAAAAATAAATTATTAAATTTAGTTCAGTTGTACCACAGCTGCTGCCCTTGCCAGGGAGAATTTATTTGAGGAAGTATAATATCTGTAGTAGGGCCTCTCACCCTTGACATTTAGGCTGCTGCAAAACATGGCACCAGCTGTTTTGTGTGTTTTCTTTTTGAGGAACGTCTTTCCTGTAAAATCCACATTCAGGATGATTATCACAGCGAAATCTCTGGAGTGCTGGACACAATTTATGATACTTGGCATGGCACGGGTATAGTATTATATCAGTGCCCGGCGTCACTATTTTCTAGCACCATGTTTAATGCACACCTTTAATGCATACCCTGATGATGGCCTTAAGACAAAGTACATTGGATAGTAATCACCCTACGTAAACGACATTTACATGCTGGTCCACGTCTTTCATCAGCCTGTATACGTAAATATCCCCATTCGATAATAATAAACCTACGTGAAAAACGTTTACACGCTGGTACACATCTTTCATGAGCATTTATGTAAATATTCCACAGTGAGCATTAAAAATTGGCTGTATTTTCACATATGTTAGGAAATCTTGGACTATGTGAACACATGTAAAAAAAAAGTTCAGATGCATGTATGCCCTCTGCTATTACAACTTATTTTCATCACACTTCCGGCGCACCAAGGAAGCAATAGACAATGTGTTTGATTTTACTTCAAACAGACCTGTTTAGCTGTGCAATGTACACTAATTCGGTTTGTACAGGCGAGTTATATGGCTAGTGGGACATAATTAGCATGCCGTGATTTCGGATAAAACCGAAAAACTCAAACAAACATTTGCCAATAAAATTTTATAAAATTAGATTTATCCGATAAACTCACATTTTTGATGTCCCAGTGTAAAAAAGGAAAGGAAAAGAAAAAAAACAAATGCGTAAGCATGCCTTTCCTTTATCTGCTGAAAAAAGAAGTTGTCTTTCTTGGTGGCTGCATGCGATGAGTGATAGGAACCTTTATCTTGTTGCATGGCGGTGTATATATCTGATGGGGATCGACAGTTTGCCGACGTTTGGTGTTATATTAAATCGGTTGAAACTTGGCGCTTGTCCTTGTCGTACGTGTCTTTTTTCGTCCTGTTTCAGTTCACGCCTTTTAACATTTTAATCTGTATTCTGTAACTGAGTTTTGTCACAACACAAGGTCACTGTTCCCAGGAAGAGGTCATTCCTGTTTTTTTTTCGAATCTCTGATAGTTGACAAAAGACGTTTTATTGTTTATCTTGTCTAGGTTTGTTGAGGACAACTGGTTATTATACCTCTGGGTCACGACAAAAGCCACTGTTCCCGTTTGCAGTTTGAGCCATACTCTTTGTGCTCCTTAGTCGGGGGGGAAGGTTTTGGTTTTTATAGAAGTAAAAAGTATGAACCAGTAGATTTTATGGGACTGTGTGGATGTGTCTGGGATGGGGGGGGGGGGGGGAAGGGAAGGGGGAAGGGAGCTGTCACTATCAGTACTGCACTTCATGCAGCCACAGGGTGAAATGGACGGGAAATGACTACATCTGGGTCTCTAGTGATTTTAGAGTATCAATGCCTGTTCCAGCAACACTTCTGTGTAACTTTTGTCATGGGAGAGTTGCGGTGTTAACAGTGGCAAAGACGTGAATGCCAAACCCAGCCGAATAAATATCATTTGATACAGGCACGTTCTTTTGAATTTAGCAGACATTTATGCCCAAATGGCATTTATTTTTATTTTCAATTTTCCAAAATTGGGATTACAGTGAAATTAAACTTTGTTTTTTATGCATTGTAGAAGAATGGGTGTTAAATAGTAAAGTGGTAAATATAGACCGACACGCTGTTTACAAACAAGCACGTGTGTTCCCCCACACCAGGTGTGGGTACTGCGCGTGCACAGAAACCAAATTTGCGTGAGGTGAAAAGTCTGCGCACGCGCAGTGCTGTCAACAGCGCCATTGCAGCTGCGTGACTTCAGGGCCGCATGTGGGTCTATATGTTCTTTTTCCAGCTTTCCAAGTGTTGGTCCTGGAGAACCAGGCCAACATCCTCACGCAGCTTACCGAGCTAAGGAAGAGTGTCGTGGCTACCTCAGCCACGAAGGTAGCAGTTGCGCTGCCTCCAGACGCCCCCACGCTCCCTGCAAGCACGTACGACGGCCTCAAGGAGGTTAACGCTTACGCTGCCTCGCAAGACAAGCTGGATGTTCTGGTGAGATTTTATGACAATTTCGGTGTATAGTTGCCATAATCAATGCGTAAATCATATTTGCACCAATTTCATGGTTCCCCGCCATCCTGGCAACTTAACTTTATCAGGTGCATATTTGTCCTGTGAATGACAGCATGTGTGTTTGTGATGAAACCCCATGGTTTGACAGAAGGGCAATGAGCCAGATTTTGTGCATGTTTCTATCTGTTCGTGAATTCATAGAAAAAAGCCTCAGTGCGGGAAAAAAAAATTGTTGTGCCCATTGTAATTTGTATTTTGGGATTGCAGTGGCTAAAATGTGCTTCAATTACAACTACAATTTAATTTTTATTCAGAAGTAATGAACCACAATAACGGATGTTTCAGGAAAGCAGTGAAGTAAATTTTTTTTTTATTATTGTGAATTTTTTTACGAGCTGATGTTAGCGGCTGTCATCAGCTCATTGCGAAAAATTTATTGCGCCAATGGAAGAGCCCACTGTAATGAGACATGACTAAGACCTTTATGGTGATATCTTTCTCAATAATAGTGTGATATGGCTTTTGCTCTATTTAAACCAATCTGCGACATAAAAGGCAGGCAACCAAGATGGAACAAGCAAACTGCTGGGTGGCTTTGCAATGACTAAAAGCTATTTACTGTAAATGACCTAATTTCCACAAGCACCTAATTTTTACAACTTGCATAAATTTAAAAAAATAGACCCTGCAAACATATTTTCCTGTGGTAACAAATCGATCCGTGCACTCATGCTTGTAGGTGATGGGCTGTGCCGTGCTTTTAGAAAGCGAAAAAGTTGTCGGGTATCAGTGTAATTGGTTGAGTTTTGAGTTTGACCAGATTCAACTTTTTCTAGCCTCTTGCGAAAAGTTTGACAAAGGTTCGATTCAGGTTTGACTGATAAGCGCATGCGCGACAGGCTGGAACTCTACCTATGATTTCCGGTTGCTGGGCAATTCCATTCTCTTGAATAACGGTGTGCCACACCTGCATGAACTCGTCGTGGCTTGTAGACCACGTCAAATGCCAACGACAATATCGCCATCCATGATGCAGTGTCGCTCAATGAAGTCATCAAAAAGGGAACGACGCATAGCCAATAGTTTGGACAAAGTTGACAGCGTCACAGGCACCAGGATGCATGATTTGACATGTGCAGAAGCATCATGTTCGATGGCCTTCAGCAGTTTGTTTACGACCAAGACAGCGTTGCTCACTTCTAGAGAGCGATGCCTCCGAAAGGAAATTATATTTAATTGCGAACCAGCGCACAGGTAGGCAGTTGCTCAAAAATCCAAACACACAAAATAATGCACTCACACAGTGCTGTGTCAGTGTGTTTTCTGTGTGTTTGGATTTCTGAGTAATTGTCTGCCTGTGTGCTGGTTTGCAATTATGCCTTATCAACTCACCCAATCTGCAGTATTAACAGGAAATTACTGATCACTTTCCTGAAAATGAGGTTAAGTGGAAATGAAATTTCATCAGCACCTCTACTGCATGCACCACATTTTCATGTACTTTTTATTTATTTCAGGGCTTTGTTTTCCTTTTCACCTGGCAGGTTATTAGCTTACAAGCAAATATAGAAGTTGGACACATTTTTGTCATGTGTAGTCGAGGCCCAGAATTGTCATTCTTATATTTTATTATATGACTCTTGGGTTGTATAACGTTTTTGCGCAGCCCCCTGAAAGTTATATAACGAGGGTTCCAATGTATACAATATTGTTTCTCTTTGTATACACTTCAAAAAAGCAAACAGTGGATACCTCCTCAACTTGGAGGCAGATCAAGTACCAGAAAATACCAAGGGAGCACCCACCTTACTTTCACTGAGAACGGAGTTAATCTAAACATGCATGCTTGTCCACTCAAATCAGGCGCTTAACATAGAATTTGCAGATTTCCCAAGTTTGGGAAATGTTAATAGTGGGCACTCCCGCAGTATTTTACGGTAGTGCATTTCACCATGGGAAATGTACAGATTGCAAGATAAGTTTATTTATCTGATCATTAACTGAGGGCAATATTCTTGGGAAGTTCCGGTTATTAGAGGTCAAATCTCATAACTATACAGTGGAACCTTGAATATGCGACTTTCAGGGGACCGCGCAAAAGCGTCATATGATATGCGAGTCATATAATTAAAAAAAT